CACTATCAAGGTACCAAAGTACACTTGATGCCTTCAAGCATACCTATGAAACACATCAATGAGTTTTAGGTACCCAATTTACGTTGGGTCCTTGGGTGTTAGGTGTGTAATGGTAGTGTGCTTGATTTTGTGATAGGTGCCTATGTCTAGTGTAACAAACGGGGGCAATATGGCCTATCCTATTACAATAATGGCAAACTACATTGGGGTTGTACATGTGCCTAGATTCATAATAGTTAGAAGGTTTAACCATTTTGTTCCTATTTTGTGAAAATGATGGTTTTTGGAAATTTTGAAATTGGCCTCTTCTAGGTGCTCTAGCATTATTTCTTCTTATTTGAGAAAATTCATTTTTATGCACAAAATCATTTTTCTTAGGTTGTCTATTATGAGCATTTTCATTTCTAGGTTTTAGTCTAGGTTGTCTAGTGTCCTTCGGTTGACTAGATTTTCTATTATCTTCATTTTTAGGTTTCTTATGTTGAACCTTAGATGATAGTCTAGGTGGTGGCTCAACATTATCTTTAGCTTTATTTTTATCAAAACCTATTCCTTCCTTAGAAAAATGCATAGTGTCAAGAAGTAAATTTAAGTCTTTGTGAGGAGTATTAAATTTCTTGACCGTGCTCTCAAGTTTAGCGACTTGCTCTTTTAAAGTTTTGCAAGATCCACATTCACTCGATGAGCTTTCTGGTTTGTCAGCGCTTCTTTTTCCAAAAAATTTGTTTTTTTGTTTAAGTATTTCATTTCCTTTTTCCAATTTTTTACAATCGTTTTCAAGTAAAGAAAGTCGTTTCTTCAGGGATTTATTTGTTTTAGAAGCGCTAACAAATTCCTCATAGAGTTCATGTAGTGCTTCTTGCATTTCTTCAAAAGTGTAAGAGTCGGAAGAAATATTACATACCTCTTGGACGTCGTCGCTTTGATCTTCGTGCGCCATGAGGCAGAGATTTGCAGCTTCGTCCTCCTCTTGGTCGGTTGATTCGTCGCCGGAATCGCCACCCCAAGAGATGTAGGCCCTTTGCTTCTTGAAGCCATGCTTATCCTTGCCGTGTTTGGCCTTTGGACACCTTGGCTTGATGTGGCCAATCTCGCCACAGCCGTAGCACTTGGGAGGACCGTCGTGCTTCCTTCCCTTCCGCTCGAATTCCTTCTTCATGAACTTATGGGTTAAGTCAATACCAAACTTAGGTATGTGTTCCATGTTAATTACTTTCCTGAGAGATGCATAATTAACATGTCCTAGTCTACCATGCCATAAACTAGAACACTCACACACATAAGCAACAGGATTTTTATTGATCTTTTCATGAACATTCATTACATTAACCTTGACAAGCCCATCAGAAATGTAACCCTTCCCAATAAAAATCCCTTTCTTGGATAAGATTAGCTTATCTGATTCAAACACCATCTGAAAGCCGTGTTTGATCAACAATGACCCCGACACTAAATTCTTGCGAATGTCTGGCACATAGAGCACGTCGTTAAGTGTTAGCTCCTCGCCGGAAGTCATTTTTAGCTTAATCTTTCCAACTCCTTGAACCTCATATTGGGCCGAGTTGCCCATCCAGACTTTGTCACCGGAGGTCTCTTGAAATTCGTGAAACATGCTCCGGTTGGAGCAAATATGATGTGTGGCCCCTGTGTCCACAAACCATTCCCTCGGGTTTGACCCGACGAGATTCACCTCGGTGACGACTGCGCAGAGGTCCAGGTTGTCGAGCTCTGCACACATAGCTTCAGTGGTTTTCTTCTTGTTTTTCTGTGGCTTCTTTTTCCTACAGTCGGAGGAACGATGCCCGATAATGCCACAATTGTAGCACTTCCCTGCAAATTTTGAAACACCACCCTTAGGACCCATTTTCTTCTTGTCCTTCCCGCCATGTGAAGAGCCCAACGGATGTTCTACCACATTCGCATTTGCCCCGCCATGTTTAGCTCCGTTCTTTTGAGCTTGAGGTCGGCTTGGAAGTCTTCCCACGACCGGGGAAGTTTGTGGATGATGGCCGCCACTTGGAAGGCCTCGCTGATGCCTACTTTCTCTTCATTGCATTTATTGAAGATAACTGTAAGCTCTTCAGCTTGGGCGACAACAGATTTGCTGTCGACCATCTTGTACTCCAGCATCTTCCCGACGATGAACTTCTTCGTGTCGGCATCTTCAGCTTGATACTTCATGTTCAAGCTATTCCAAAGCTCTTTTGCAAGCTTGGCACCGACATAGACGGGGTACAGCGTATCTCCCAGCCCTTCAAGAATAATATTGATGGCGAGATAGTTGTTGTGGTACCATGCTTGGTTTACCATCGCCACAAGGGGGTCGTTGGCTTCATTGGGCTGGGGGGGATCTTGCTGTAGGTACTCAGCAAATCCCAGGACGGTCAAAAAGAACATCATCTTTTGTTGCCACATTTTGATGTAGTGCCATTGAACTTCGGTGGCCTTTGGACCGAGCTAGCGGGCACTGAGATAGCCCCAACTGCGTTGGGCGTATGGAAAGGCCCGTTCCTCGCCCAATGAGGTCCAACAAAAGGATTGACCGGTGCGGGGAAACCCGCATTCGGTCCAAAGTTGACCGTCGAGGTCGGAGCCATAGTCAGTCCGAGAAACGGGTTCGAATTACCGACGGGGTAGTCCCCCGTGGTTTCGAGCCTGGGGATGGGTCGAGGGGCCGACTCGAAGTCCATAATACTACCTTAAGATTGTTGAAGATTACAGCGGGAATAATAATAATAATAATAATAATAATAATCCGAACTTATAAACCCTTCGGATTTTACAACGAGAAATAAAGGAAAATAAAAGTGGAGTCTTCGGAAGCTCGAATAGACTGGGAGAACACGAACAGACAGCAAGGCTCTGACCTCGGAGAAGATGATCGGAAAATGGGATTCGCCGGAGCAGTTTCTCGAGGTGTAGATTAGGAAAGCGGAGTCGCCGAAGCTTTCCTTAAGGTGGTATTGCCCGCCTCCCGCACTGGCAAACGTGGGCAATCTCCTCCTAGAATAAAACCGCAACGTGCTAAGTCTAGAGCGGTAGAGTAGAGCACCGGCGAGCGAGAATGACGGAGAGCTATCGCCGGAGAAAATGACATGAATTTGGGGATTCGCCGGGAAGTTTTACAGTAGAGAGAGAGAGAGAGAATTTTCGAGTGTACTAGTCTATTCATCTCTGCGGACGCCACGCCGCAGACGCGGGCGCGCCTCGCCTCGCCTCGCCTCGCCTCGCCACGCCACGACCCGACCAGATCCGATGCGCGCGCGCGCGTGTCGTGACGTGCCGAGCCGGACGGACGGCGGCAGCGGCGGCGCGCGAGGAGTCCTCTTCTTGCTCCTTTCATAAGCTCAATTCAATGTCAAAGCTTAAATATGAGAATACGAAAGGTTTAAAAACCGGTGTGGGACAAAGGCATTTACTCTACCTTAGCATTCAAATTTGAGAATTAATTTCTCATTCACCCGAGCACCGTTTGTGGCGTGTAATACGTCAAGACGTTCGTCTTACTTACGAGATTAAACGTCCATAATTATTTCGGAAAATAATTTTGTGGACCCTACCGAATTTATGTCCGAAAATTGTCCAATTTACTTAAAATTTCCAACAATTACCATCTCGTTAAAGGACACGTTTTCTTGTTCATATTTCAAGGGTTGCTGGGGTGGTAATAAGGTTTTGCGCGTTGTATTTAATTAAACCACATGCTCCCCCGCTTGTGCAGACCTTCGTCAACTCCTTTGAGTTTCTGTCATGTAAAAGTTGGAAAGATTTAATGAAATAATAAAAACTTAGAAAAAGTTAAAAAAACGGAAAGAAGTTTGAAACTAGAATGAGTTGAAAAAAATAAAGTGTAAAAAAAATTTAAAAAGTTTTAAGTTGGGTAAATTTCACAAATAGTATACGAACTTTGAACAGAATTTTACTTCGGTATATACGAACTTCAAATCCTCAAACAAAAGTACACGAACTTACAACTTCCTTTCACTAAAAGTCCAATAGCAGGTTTTCAGGTGACAAATAAGTCATGTGCGGCCAAGCTATAATTTTGTAAATTTAAAGTTTATGTTTTTAACCTTATTTTTTTTGTCTTTCGATTTACACATCTCCTATTATTCTTCAAAGCTCCTCTTGCTCTAAATTTTTTCTTTTCTCAGCTTCCAAACCTCACCTCCACCGCACCACATACCCTATCCCACCCCCTAGCCCCAACCCTATTTTTTTCTTTCTTTTTTTTCTTTTTTTGTTCCAACCCCACCCACCCAACCCCCACCTCACCCCATTTTTTAAATCTTTTTTTCTTCTTTTTTTGTTTTAACCCCCCACAGCGACCCCACCCCATGTTCGTCTTCTTCTTTCATTTTTTTCATTTTCATTATTTCTTTTTTGGGATAAGGACCAAACTAAGAGTAAAAGATATGACATATTCCCAAAATAGGAGTTGAAACTTAAACTCCTCTAAATAAGAGTAATTAATTTAATTAATCTAATCTTCTCTCACACACTCTCCCTTCCCGTCCATTTCTTAATGTCCCCGGGCCGGTGGTCAATGCAGCGGAAAGAGGAATAATGTTGTTGGGTTTCCTGAAGGGTTTTAGGAGTATTCTGAAAATTGGCCGCTGCACATTTTGTTTCCTTCCAATTTGAATGAATTGAGTCAAGAAGTTTGACTGGGCTTTGTTGGGTGGGTTGGATTTGTTTGGTTGTAATTTAAACTTGTAATTTGATGAAAATGGTACTTGATTTTATCTTAAGTGTCAACTTGAAAGTTCTATAGAAAATGTAAAAATGAGGAAAGAATATTGTTTGAGAAAGAAAGGCATGATTTGTTACCATAAATCATTTGTAAGGTTACAAATGAAGGCGAAGAAAATTAAATAAATAAAGTTTGAATTTATAAATTATTCAAATGTATACAAAAGAATGATATAGTAGAGAGGCCACTATTGAGACGAGACTTACACAGTGACATATAAAGGCATACATGCAAATACATAGTATTAAACAAAGGGATANAAGGATAGCAGGCAAATGTTTGATCAACATATTTTAAAATATGTCATGATTTGGTTATTATTGTACTTCCGCATTACTCTGAAAATATTTTTAAATGGGTCGCGATCCAGAGTCTGTAAATTTAATATTTATAAGTAATTGTCATTTTCAAATGTCAAGCGAAATTTTTATTTAACTCTTGTTTCACCATAATTCGTATAATTCCGGGTTATATGGATTGGGGTGTTACACATAATGTCAAACATTACACCACATAGTGTCACAAATGATAATGCATAATGTCACAAATTCCCATATGTAATGTTTTAGATGCAAATTGACAGTGTCACACAAAGATAAATAGCCCATAGATCAGACAATTATAGTCTAAAAGCTTTTTTTAATCGATATGTGCATTCCAAATCAATAATCAAAAATTAAAAAAATAAGTCATTTTAGAGGGACAAAGATGTATTCTTGATTTGCTATTTATAGCTAAAATATACACAAAACATCACACAACTAATAGATGATGCACTGCATAAAGCACTCACTATCAATAATTAGAGTCCAAAAAAGGTAAAAAATCACAAAGAAAAAAGAAGGGTTTTTGGAAGGGGAATTTCGTCGAATACCTTTTGGGCCTCAAACGCATCAAAACGGTCGGGAGAAATGAGGTGTTTCTCCGCTGGACTGAACAAGAGGAGAGATTTTGGCATACATAGATTAATTGAGAAACGTAGAGGAAATTAAACTGATAGTCAGAGCTTCTTTAGCAATAATAAATCCCCAAACAATAAACCCAATTCAAAAGTTATACGCGAATGGAAAAGGAAGGGCAACGAGGTGGAGAGGAGATGGCGGAAGGAGGATGCGGTAATCGTGACAGAGGGTCGACAACAATGGTAGCTAGGGCAGTGGGTGCGATGGTGCGGAGAAGAGGCTAAGCAGAGATAAAAGGAAGATACCATATTTCTCTTTTTGTGCGGTCAAGAAAAATTGATTTAATCACTCCTATTTAGGGGAGTTTAACTTTGAGCTCCTATTTTGATGATATGATATATGTTTTACTCCTATTTAGGGGGTTTTGTTTTCTTTTTTTGTTTAACCCCCCTCCCCGACGTTTTATTTTTCTTTTTTTTTCTTCCTTCTTTTTTTTTTGTTCCAACCCCCATGCACTCCATGTTTTTTTTATTTCAGTGAGGCTTATATAATCTCAAGGTCCACATTTAAAATATAGCTTTTCTCACATTTTTATGAGCTTTTATATAGATATTTTTTAGTTTGAAAATGGCATATTTTTTAAGATCCAATATAAATGAGCATGGACCTTAGGCCCGCGAACGAATTTTTTTTATTCTTCTTTTTCTTTCTTTTTTTTGTTTGTTTCATCCCCGCGTTTTTCTTTTTCATCACTTTTTCTTCATCTTCTTTTGATTCTTTTCCAACCTCACCACCCCTACATTTTTTCTTTTTTTCTTCTTCTTCCTTTTTTTGTTCCACTCCCGCGCCCCATAACTCTCATAAGAAGAAGAAGAAAAGAAAAAAATATGGCAATGAGAAGGGGGAGTAGTTGGAACAAAAAAGAAGAAGAAAAACAGAATCGATCAGGATCGATGAGGAGGTGTGGTGGGAAAAGAATTAAAAGAGTTAGAAGAAAAAAATGAAAGAAGAACAAC